AGGAAGGAAGTGACAAAGGAAAGAAGAAAGGGAGGGAGGAAAGAAGGAAGGAAGGGAGGGAGATAGGGAAGGCGAGAAGAACAAAGAGAAGAAGGGAGGGAGGGAGGAAGGAAGGAAGACCCATCCCTCCTTTTACCTGACAATTCTTGAATATTTCCACTTCCCTTACCCCCAACTCATTCATTAAACTTCTTGTAGGAAATTTTGGTCTTCATTTTTGTCACCTTTGTTGCATCTGATGCTGATGAACACTTCTTCCTTGTTAATGTTCTTTCCACCCATAGTTTCTGTGACACTCTCTTGTTCTCTTTCTACCTCTGATCGAATTCCTCCCTCCTCCAGTTCTTTGCTTCTCTTCCTTCTCCTTCCTTCTTCATAGGTGTTCCATAGGTTCTGTTCTGATCCTCTTTCCCTCTATCATCTCTTCCTTTGCTGATCTCATCTATTTCCATGGCTTCAATGATCAGCCCTCTGAAAATGATTTCCAAGTCTCTATCTGGCACCTGAACTTGGATGACCTTCTAGAGCCACCATCTTTCCAAAAAATATTTGTTCAGCCTCCTGGCTACCCCATTTCTATTAATGGTGCTCTATTTGTCAAGTCACCCAGGGTCAAGACCCAGGAGACATCTTTTATCCTTCCTTCTCCCTCATTCCTCACAACTAGTCACCAAGTCCTCCCATATTATACCTCAGTAATATCACTTGCATCAAACCCTTCTTAGTCATAAGCTATCTCTACCTTTATATTCACAGCCTTATTACATTTTGCCTGGTCTGCTATAAAAACCTCTGATCTTCCCCCAATCGAATGCAGCTTGCCAGTATAACCTTCCTAAAGCATAGTTCTAATTATATCACCCCACTGTTTGAAACTTTTAAATGCCTCCTCATTGTCTATTGCATAAAGACAAGACTCCTCATCCAAGGCCTTCTTCATTCTCGCTGCAAGCTATCTTTCCAGACTTATTTCACATTATTCCCCTTAATGTATTCTATGCTCCTACCAACGAGACTACTCATTGTCCCCTGAGCACAACTATACTTCTCGCCTCAGTGCCCCTTTACCCCCTCTTCATTCCCATCCTGAACAGTGTATATCTCTCGAAATCCTACTCCACCTTCAACAATCAGTTCGATTGCTATTCCTCCGTGAATCTTTCCTTGATCCTCCCAGTGGACAGTCCCTCTTATGAAGTCCCACCACACTTTCTATTTCACAGTATACTGATTTGTATATGTCTTGTGTCCTCCACAAGAGATAGTAATTGCCTTGGCATCAGGGTTTCTGTCTTATTTACCCTTAGGGCCTAGTACAATGTCTTGCTCTTAGGAGGTACCTAGTATGTTGAATGAATGTTGAATGTCCAGGCTGGGTTATTCTCGAGGCAGAGTAACCATGGTGCAGCTTCCTCTCTCTTCAGGAAGCATCACTCCCCCACTACAGCAACCTTGGGGAGCTTAGAATGAAAGTAAGGAAGGGCAGCGAGGAGGGGTGATTGCACTGCCTCCCCATTGTCTCCCCATTGTCTGTGAAGTTGATACTGGATGCTTGTGGAGAGCAGCAAGCCCCTGCCAGGTAGGAGGGTGATGGAGAAACCACACTGATAAGGCAGAGATAGTAAGGAGTCACTGGCAGCAGAAGTACACATCCAGACTTTTTCAAGACGCCCCCCCAGGAAGGGGGAAAAGGGAACACATATGGAGGTAGGAAAGGGGAAAGGTCACACGATCATCCCACACCTGCCTCCACCTCCAAGCAGGGTTACTTAGGGTTAAAACTTGAAAGAAAGCAAGTAAGATGGTTTGCATGTTATTTCAGGCAGAGAAACAAGGGAGTTAGATGGCTTATCAACCGGCACCTGTTCTTTTAGCTATTTATTGTGATGGCTTCAGAACTTCCAAAACGAAGAATGGCAGCTGAATTCATTCTTCCCTCCCTCCCCCTTCCTTCTTTCTCCCTTTCTGTCTTCCTCTGCCCCCCTTCTCTCTTTCTCTCTCCTTTTTTCTGCCTCTCCTTCTCCCTTTCCCCTCCTCCTCTCTGCCTCCTTCTCCCCCTCCCTTTTCCTCTCTCACCCTCTCCAAATACACAAACGTGAGCCCACCTGGTTAAGACCCTAAAATCTCCCTACGGAAGAAGATGCCACAAGCTCCCACCCACCCACCCACCCCACTCAGTCTCCAGTCCCATGGTTTAACAAGGCTTACTAGAATAAGAAGATGACCCCAGTCCACATCCCAACTCTGTCACTAGCTGTGTGACCATGGGGCCAGTCACAAACTCCCAGCCTCATTTCCCTCATCTACAAGATGGAGGTTATAACACTTAAAAGGACCCAGGCTCATTGTGCAGAAAGCACCTCATAGATCTGAAAGCGTAATATAATTATAAGCTATTATTAATTTTCTTAAAACTGACCTGTGACTTCACCACTGTAGGAAGCCTGGAGTGAGGAACTCCCTCTATCAGGGCAGGTCATCACATTTTCTACAGCTTATCATCTTAGAGAGCTACCTTGGACTGTGAGAGGCCAGAGACAGAACTTGAACCATGGGCTTTTCTCCCTCTGAGGCAAGCTCTTATCCGTCAATTATAGCCATTAATTGATTCTCAATCACTAATAATAGGAGAAAGTCCTTCCTGAGCTCCCAAAATTCAATACCTTCTGCTTGACTTTCAGCCCATTCCCTCATGTTCTGGTCTCCATTTAAATAAAATAATTTGTCTTGTAGAATAAAGCTATCGGGGCAGTATATGGCATGGTGGATAGAGCTCCAGCCTTGGAGTCAGGAGGACCTGAATTCAAATCTGGCCTCAGACACTTGACACTAGCTGTGTGACCCTGGGCAAGTCACTTAACCCCCACTGCCTCAAAAAAAAATAGGGGAAAAAAATAGAATAAAGCTATCCAGAAACTTGAATGCTGCTCTCCCCTTGCCTTCTTTCATAGTATCTTCCCACTTATCCCTTAGGCTGGCCATCTCTGGGCCACTCTCTTTCTGGGCTCCTCTCCACAGTTTCCCTCGAGTCCTTTTGAGACTGGAAAACAATGGGGTGGGTGGGGGGAGGTAGAGTTGTTCTAAGATGGATCCCAGGAAAGAGAAAACATGTGGAATGAGGACCAGAGAGCATCTAGAATGGGAAGACGGAGGTGTCTAGAACGAGGCTCTAGGAGGAAAGAAGAATATCCTGATATGGGGCAGGGGCATCAGCACTGGAATTAGAGGATCTGGGTTAGACTCCCAGCTCTTATTTACTAGCTATGAGTAAGTCTCTTCCTTTTTCCGGACTACAGGTCATCTTTAAAATGAGGGGGTTGGACTGACTTCTAAGCAACCTTCAAACCCCAAATCTATGTATGATCCACTGTCTGAGATGAGAATCTTGCAGGCCAGGCCCTGGCCTCCCCAGGCATTCAAGCTCACCAGAAACGTCAGAGAATTCTTCAGCACTGAAGCTCTGCTCCCCCTCCCTGGGGATACTGACAAAGGCCTGCATGGCTGGGGAAAGAACGATGGTCCCACTGCTGGCTTGTCTCAGGAGGCTCTCCAGGTACCTGTAGGTACAGCCAAGAAAGTGAGGAGTGGAGTATGGGGAGGTCCTGCCTGTACACTCTGCTATTGGGAGAAAAAAATTCAGCTGGAAGCTGTGGGGGGAGAGGAAGGGGTCAGGGTTCCACTACACCAGAGTAGACAATACAACATTCTAATTAACAACTCAAGCTGCCAACTCAAAAAATAATTGTCTCTAATTTGCAAGCCACTTTGCCTATCACTTGCATGACAATCATTTCATGTCAAAAGGCAATGGACTTTCCTAGCTTTGCTTCCTTTGCCATCAGTGTGATGCCCCTCTCCTTCCCAAAACCCAGGACTTGCTCAGTCAGGCTTTGTGGATTCATCTGAGATGAGAGAACTGAGTGGGAGTGACTCCTTTCCTGGGCTGAACTGCATCAATTAGAATATTAACATCAGGACCAAAGAAATAAGGAAACACACATCTATTAGGTACCTGCTATTATGTTATCTATAATATAATTATATTATAACCACTATAATGTCTCATTTGATCCTCTCAACAACCCTGGGAGGTAGGTGCTATTATTGTCCTTGTTGTAGAGTTGAAGAAACTGAGGCTGATGGAGACAGCAAGCGAGTTGCCCAGGTTCACACAGATAAGTGTCTGAGGCTGGATTTGAACTCCGGTCTTCCTGACTACAGGACCAGCATTCTATCCACTGAACCACCTAGCTGCCAAGGAGTACAGGAAGCCAATCTAATACAAACTTAGTATCCGGAGCCAAATAAAAGCCCTAGGAATTCTAACATCCTGTCTCCAAATCTCCCCTTGCCTACAGGAGACAACTTGGTATAATGGAAAGAACTCTGGATGTGGAATCATTAAGACCTGGGTTCGAATTCTGACTCTGCCACTTAATGTTTCTGTGACCTCAGGAAATTCTTAACCTTTCTTGGCCTCAGTTCCATCATCTGTAAAGTAAAGGATCTGGCTGCAGGCTCTCTCATGTCCTTTACATTTCTAGACCCTGTGACATTTCTCCCCTTTTCTTCTGATTAAATGGAGAGGGATCTAGTTATGGCCAGGTCAAATAGAGGGAACCTTGCTTGGCTATTCACCCTGCTGGCCCTACCTCCCTACCTCATGTCTGGGACATGAATCCCCCACTCACCCCAGTCTCTGTACCCACATCCCCCACACACCCATACACCCAAAACCAGCCCACTATGGGGGGCTCTTGAAAGTTGCCTGTCTCAGCTGATGCTGGATCAAGAGCGCCACCCAGTGGCCTCATCTATGCATTCCTTCCAAAGCTCTGGGGTACAGGATCAGAAGTTAAGACCCCAGAGGAAAGAGCTCTTCTTATCTTTTAAGAGAACTCTATCCATGGAGTGGGAATAACCTTCAAGGGGCTCATTGTCAGGCCTGAGAAATAGAGGACACTTAGTTGGAGGAAAGGTGATGGCAACTACAAAGGAAGAGGATGGAATTAGAATGGGCATACAATGGAAAGAGATTTGGATTTGAAGTCAGGTGGATTCAAATCCTTGTTCTTTCACTTAGCTGTATGACCTCAGGCAAATCACTCAACCTCTCTGGGTTTCTTAACTCCTGTTTCCTCATCTGCAAAAGGAGGGGGTTGACCTCAGCTCTAAATCTAGGGCCCTAAGTTAGAGAAGGGTTCCCAGAATGGAGAGAGAGTGAAAAGAACATTGAGTTAAAGAGAAAGAGGAAGAATAGAGGGTCAGAGGAGGGCAGAAGGAGATCTTACCAGTTGGTATAGAGAGTGGTAATGGTCTGCTCCCCAGAGGAGTCTAACGGCTGTGTCTGCTGCAGAAGGGCATTCCGGATAACCCGAGAAGCATCCGCACCCAGGAACTGGGTCAGTGACTGGATGAAGCCAATGTATGCCTTGACCCCTGCCAGGACTTCAGAGGGCCTTGCAATCTCCTGGGTCGTGGCATTGTAGCCAGCCAGCCACACCATGGCTCTGTAGGAAAACAGGCCAAGTAGCAAGGGTACTGGGCTCCTAGTTTCCATCCCAATCCCTAAGGGCCCACCCCACCACCTTCCCTTCTTGTTGTGCTAGTGTTTTCTTCAGTCTCAACGGAGAAAATAGTTGCACCTACTATGAAAGATGTTGGAGTTTCATGCTTTGAGATCCTGAAGGAGGAGGAGAATAATGGAACCTCCCACATACGAACAGAAGCCATGAGGCATCTAGATAGGGACTGAAAAGTTGTAATAGCCCCTGGCTGGTACCTACGTACACCTCTTAGACAGATAGACAGGGCTAGCCATACACACAGGAGAGAACCATCACCCTAATGTTTTGTGCTGTTTTCTGATACAAAAGAAAGGTTCCTCTGACACACACACACACACACACACACACACACACACACCAATCCTTATTCCAATTGTAGCTTATTAATGCCTATACTTTTACAACTCAATATTCATTTCTTTGACTTAAGGTTTCTTCCAGCATAGATCACTGGATTTGCAGTTAAGAGGCCCGGGTTCAAATCCTGAGTCTATTACTTATCTACTTACTCCCTGTGAGATCTTAGACTCAACCTCTTAGGCATCAATTTCCTCATCCCAAATTAAGGAGGTTGGGCTTGATAATTGTCCTGCCCCAAATTTTATGAAAATGAAAAATCCCCCTTCCTGTAAAGATGTCCTCCATTAAACTCTTATTAGTCATTTATACTTCAATAGGAATGAGTTTGTCACACTCCTTCCTGAAAATAGGTTTTGATAGGGACACAGAGAAGAGAACGTCAGGCTTATTCCCTTGAGAGTCTGGATGGGAGGTGATTATCATCCAGGAAATTAAAAGAAAAAAGCAGAGAAAAGGAAGGCTGGGGGACCTTAAAGACAAATTTCATATACTTCAGTTTCCCTTAAGGCCAAATTTGTAGACAGAATCCCATCCATCCTAGAATCCATGGGGACTAGGTTTGGGGTAGGGAGGAGATTAGAGATCCTTCAGGAAAAGTGTTAAATCATTCACAGGGACTGGGAAAAGCAATTAGCTTTTGATTACATATATGAATTACCCAGAACAAATTTTTATTACTAAACTGTCTTCTTCCTGACCATGAGCAACCTTCTTTCTCAGGCTAGCCCAGGGAAAGTATACTATTTATCATAGCTTCTTTACAACCAAATTAGGAAGATAAAGCTGTGACGTCCACTATTACTACCACAAAATAAATATGTATGTAACATATTCCCCAAACCAAATAGAGATGATTTTGGGATTATTATCTTAGATTACCCAGGCGAATTATACTTGACTACTTCTTTCCCTCAGCATGAAGACCTAAAGATCGTATTCTAGAAGTAGGGGTCCTCCGGGTTTTCTGGGGATGAGGAGAGCACCATACCTGTTGAGCCGTTCTTCCAGATGGGTGCTGAGATACTCAGAAGGGAAGATAGTGTGCTCAAACACAAAGAAACTGTGCACATGGTTCATGGTCAGAGCCAGCTCCGTCAAGGTCAAGTGTAACTTATCCATGCTTAGAGAAATTGATTAAAAGTAAGGATCAAGTTAGACCAGATCAGGAATCTGAAGCTTCAGATCCCACTTCCCATTCTACCTGACCCACTCATTCCCCCTACTTACTCAGCTCCCTCCCAGCTCAGGGAGAGGATTTAAGCGACTCTGGAACCCCAACACATCCTCTAGAGATTTTCAACCTATGTGTATACCACCACCCTCCCTGCAGTCTCCACTATGAAATTCCATGGCTATGCATATGCTGATACATGGCATGACTAGAAGGCTTCTAAAAGACTCTATGGCCTCCAGATCCATGCAATGCTAGTGAAAATGGGTAAAAGGCAAAAGATAGGTTCAGGTGCTTTCAATCAATCAACCTTGGTGTCATCCTTAACTTTTCACTCTTACTCCCTTCCACACAGCCAATCAATTACTAAATCTTGGCAATTTCTTTCTCTACAACATTTCTTTAATATGTTCCCTACTCTCCAGTTAAATAACCACCACCCTAGCCTATCACCTCTCACTTGGACTATTGCAATAGCTTCCTAATTGGTCTCTCTGCCCCAAGTTTCTTCCCACTCCAATCCATTCTCTATGCAGCTGCCAAAGTGTCACAGGTCTAACCATGTCATCCCACTACTCAATGAGCTCCAGTAGCTCCCTATTACCTTTAGGATAAGGTGTTTAAAAGCTCTTCATAAGTCTTGTATGAACTGAGGCAAAGTGACGTGTGCAGAACCAGGTGAACATTGTATACAGTAACAGCAATATTGTAACAACGATCAACTGAACGAGTTAGCTACTCTGATCAAGACAATGATCCAAGACAATGCTGGGGGAGCCATAATTAAAAATGCTCTCCATCTCCAGAAAGAGAACTGATGAACTCTGAGTGCAGATTGAAGATTTTTCCTCTTTATTTTCTTGGGGCACAGGAAAGGTCTTTTGCAACATGGCTAATAAGGAAATGTTTTGCATGACTCCACATGCATAATCAATATCATATTGCTCACCTTAAGGAGTAGAAGAGGGATGGGAGAGAGAGAATTTGAAACTCAAAATTTTTAAAAATGAATGACAAAATTTTTTAATTAATTGGGAAATATTTAATGAAATAAAAACATTTTTAAAATTTTTTTAATTTTTTAAAGGGGCAGCCTGGCCCCTTTCTATCTTTCTAGTTTTCTTGTATATAACTCCCTTCCATACATTCTACAATCCAGTCTTATTGGCCTCCTTGCCATCCCTCATACACAATACTCCCATCTCCATGTCTGCCCCTCATTCCTGGAATGTTTTCACCTCCACTTTTTAGAATCACTGGCTTCCTTCAAGACTCAGCTCAAGGACTACCTTCTGCAGAAGGCCTTTCCTGGTTCCTGGAGCTGGCAATGCCTTACCCTCAAAGGTATCTTATCTTCTTTCTGAATGTATCTTTGCTTATACCTATTTATGTACACACATACACCCATTAGAACATAAGCTCCCTGAGGGCAGGGACTATTTTTCTTTGCATCCCTTGCATTTAACACCAAGCCTGGCACAAAGTAAGTGCTCAATATATGCTAATTGATTGATTGATGCTTTCCCAACACCTGTCTCTGTACCCCCCCCACCCTTCCTTCTTGATCATGTCAACCTCCCTCTTCCCATCCCTTGCCCAGTTTTGAGCTAGCCCCCACCCCTAGACAGTTCTCACTTTGTAACAACACTTCGGTTCTTTCGATGACTCTCAGCCCCTGGCTTGTCCCTCTCAGGTTCCCCTTTTTTAGGGGTCTGCTTATGTTTCCTGGTCTTCTTGTTCTTGGCTTTGCTGATGGTGGCAGCACAGTGCTTAGGCAGTAGCTTTCAACACAAACAGGTAAATGGGAGTGGGCTAAGTTTCTCAGATTGCTTTTTTTGTCCATATGCTTAACACCTTAATTCTTCCTTTAGCCACCTTCTATCTTTCCTCTCTCCAGCTCTTTCTTTTCTCTCCCTTTCTCCCTAATGGGGACATATTTGGATGGGTTGTATTCTATTTTTCATTCTGGAAGGGCTTCCAGGAAGACAGAGGAATAAAATCACAAAGAGAACCTAGCTCCTTAATACCCCCCCTTAAAAAAAGCAGAAACAGAAATGTCAAAAAAAAAAAAAGCAAAACTACCAGAAACCCTAAAAATAAATTTTTTTAGGAAAAAACAAATTCAATGAAATGAAAGCACAAAGACAGAGTTCTAACACAAGGAAAATACTATGGATGAAGAGAGGCAGAAGTAGTAAAAAGAAGATGCTCAACACTTACAGAAGGACCAGTAACAAAACTCAGATTTCCTTAGGCCACAGTAAGATGCATAATGGACATAATGAAAAAATTGAAGGAATTAAATAAGCAAAAAAAATCACAAGATGAAATATAGAAGGATTTTACCACAACTAAGAAATCTTGGGACATGATGATAAGGAAACTCAGCAGTTTGGAAATAGACACACATAGTGTCAACAAAACAATGGACCCAATGGGAGGGAAGGGAAGGAACATAATTATTTAATTCATATGCCAGAATGGAAAAAAAAAAACAACACAGAAAACATGAAAAGAACTAACTATGCAACTACAAAAAGATTTGTGGTTTGTTGGATAAAGCACTGGTCAGAAGACCTGCATTCAAATCCAGCCTCAGATACTAGCTTTGTGACTGTGGGCAAGTCATTTAACCTCTGTCTCAATTTCCTCATTTTTAAAATGGGGATAACAATAGCATGTCCCTCCCAGGGTTGTTATGAGGATCAAATGAACTATTAATTGTAAGATACTCTTGCAAACCTTGAAGTGCTGCTATGTAAATATTAGTTTTTATAATTGTAATCAAGAGTAACTAATCTGAAGAATACAGCAAAAAGAGAAATTTTGAGAATGGCTTCCCAAAAATATGGGGGGGAAAGAATATAACTATTATATTTCAGAAAATCCAACAGGAAAATTTCCCACAAATATTGAAAAAGAGGGCTAGATTACAAATTGACAAGATTCATAAGACATCAGCCAGAGAGAATCCAAAATTCAACTTGCCTAGATACACCATTGTCAAGTCTTAAGAATACCACAGCAAAAGGTGGCCAAGAAGAAAAGCATCATATTTTTCTATCCTGTTTATCCCTCTGTTCACAGAATCAGAACTCTCAGGCTAGCATTGCCTTTTAAGAATCAATTTGTTGATAGCACCATTTCCAGGTAGTACAAGGCCTCCTGAGGGAGGTTATACAAGGCTCTATCATGATTAGAAAGACTGAGATTTCACAGGATCTGTTTCAAGAGTAGGCTCAATAGTGACAAGATCAACTACCGAATTGTGGAGTCTGTGGAACCAGGTACAGGGTTCTACAATAAGACAATAAGTAAGTGATATCTACTAAGCCAGACCACCAGAAGACTGATAACATATTCATCAAGAAAGTGACTGTTCAAACACACAGAAGCTTTGTAATTGGCCCATTCCAGGGTCTCCTAACCCTGACAGGTAGAAAGTTCTTACCAGTGTCTAGCCACCAACTCACTTTATTTTATCATTCTCTCTCTCTATGTGTGTGTGTGTGTGTGTGTGTGTGTGTGTATGTATATATAAAATTTTATGCTTTCATATTATAGCATGAAAGTGATATATAACTTATAATTATTTCATATTATTACATAAAGACATCAAATCCTTCATGTAGAAATTACCATCCATCATCTGACTGCCTTCTCTTCTAAATCCATTGTTTTGTCCCTTAAACACCAACCCGACATCTGCCTCCATTCTTCACTAGAAGATTCCATAGTCAGATACTATTAGGCATACAGAGAAGGGAATGAAACTAATGCCCCTCCCCAAATGTGGCAATATAATCTAATGGTTCAAAATCTGTTTTGTCCTTCAGAGGAGTTGCCTCAGGAACTGCTCAAAGCAACTTTTGTCTGTTTCAGAAAATCAAATTTATCCTCCAAGTACAGCAATTTGCCACTAATAAGGACATTCAAGGAATGCACCACAGGCTCTATAGACGAGGGTTGTATGTGTTCTGAGCCAAGGCAATATGGTTGGAGTAAAGTGTGCAGGATACCAAAGGGACAACTTTGAAGGTAAAAATGCATATCTATGTGGATAAGTTATGGTATGTTTGTTAAATCAGTCACATTGCATTAGGACCTTAGTTTCCATACCATCAGGCACATATGTAGTCAAAAAAAAATCTGTTGAATGATGAATGAACATGCATAACTCCTAATAAAATATATGTGTATGAATGTGTATGTGTGTGTGTGTGTGTATAGAAACTTTGTCATCTCTTCCTTAAACGAATTACATGGATTTTCTGTAGTGTGTATTATCTCCCCCCCCCATCATTAGCAGTTCCCATTCTCTTTCTTGTATGATGGACAAGGGCCCTGGAATGAGTTTGAGTCCCACCTTTAATGCTTACTAGCTGTGTGACCCCAGTTGAATCACTATATCTCTCTGAACTTCATCTCTTTCATCTATAAAATGGGGGTTATAATATTCTTACTGCCTTCCCCATAGGGTTTTGTAAGGAAAGAAACCTTAATGTATTATATAAATATAAATGTGATACCCCTGCACCCAGTGGGGCTTGGGACAGTTACCTAAAGGACAGCTCTGTGACACTCCCTCTGTAAAGGGAGCTGTGACTCTTGATTGCCTTAAAGAAGACCTCTGAGCCTATGACACTTGTGGGAGGGGGAAGATAGGAAGAGGGAGGGAGGGAGGGGGAGGGGGAGAGAGAGAGAGAGAGAGAGAGAGAGAGAGAGAGAGAGAGAGAGAG